CATCATCCATTCTCCTCACCTTCACCATGGCCTTGTACTTGTCCTTCAGCTGTTGGTACATGAGGCTGTACTTCTCCACTGGCAGCAGAGACAACGTGCTCCTGAACTCGCTACTTCTGCACTCTGTGGCCCAGCGGACCAGTTTAGGCAGCAGGTCAGAGGACAGCCAGGGCAGCTTGGGGTAGGCGACGCCATCAGAGAACCAGGAATCGACCGACAGCGCACACAACTCCAGGGACCTGCAGATAAAGCACAAGTCATCTACAGTCTTGTGCTCATTTTATGCTAACTATACTAACATGTATATTAACTGAGAGTTTGTGACGTCGCCTATCCTGAGAGCGCTGCTTCGAGTTCACTTATATCAATATCAGGAGGATTTTTAAATATGAAAAAATAATTTTAAATATTAATAAGAAAAAGAAGATAAACCCAAAATAAATTTAAAAAAAAACAAAGACAATGTAACAAAGTTTGAACAATAAGAATAACAACTGTAAATTATATTCTGTGGTTTAAATTTTCTTATTGCTGTTGACACTGAATGTCTGACCTGTATAGTATGGAATATATGGTGAAGACCCTCAAAAAACTCTAATAACTTGTCTTTCATTCATACACCCACTGTTAGGTTTGCCTTTAGCGCCAACTTGGACCTCTTTTGCATTCAGAGCTGCTTTCATTCTTCATGGCACAGATTCAACAAGGTGCTGGAAACATTTCTCAGAGATATTGGCCCAAATTGGCATGACAGTGTCACACTTTGATAATGTGTGATGAATCTCCTGTTAAACCACATTCCAAAGGAGCTCTGTTGGACTGAGATTGACCGCTGAGTGGGGAGGTGGAGGTAGCGTTTGGATACGGTGAACTCATTGTCATGTTCAAGCAACACCAATGCTAAATTCTGACCTACAAATAGGATCAGAAGAAATCAAGACTCAGACCAGACGAGATTTTCCAGTCTTTTCTTGTCCAGTGAAATGCAGCCTCAGTTTTAACAGGAGTGGCACCTGGATTGGTCTTCTGCTGTAGTAGACGATCCACTTAAATGTTTAATATGTTGTGCACTCAGAGATGCTCTTCGGCATATTTTTGTTATAACAAGTGTCTATTTGAGTTACTTTTGGCTTCCTATCAGCTCGAAGAAGTCTGGACATACTCTGACCTCTGGCAAAAAGAAGCAGAGCTGCAGCTCATTGGATATTTTCTCTTTTTCCACTCCATTCCCAGTAAACTCTAGAAATGCCAGCAGATCAGCAGTTTCTGAAATATTCCGACCTATACGTCTGGCACCAACAACAAAGCCATGCTCAAAGTCACTTAAATCATCTTTCTTCCTCATTCTGATGCTCAGTTTGAACATCAAGATTGTATAATCAACCAGTAAACTATCATCCAAAACCAGGCATTTCGTCCTGTATGTTCTAATGTGCTGTAAAGATGATGACTGCAGACTCACCATTCCTCACAGTCCTGATTGCAGAGCTGAATCTGATAAATGTTGCCTTTCTTCAGAGACGCTTTTCCCTCTGCATCCTCTTCAAATGGGATAAAGGTCACTCGTTGTCTACCAAAGTCTGCAGAGAACAAGAGAGAAGGCATTAGAAACAAATAAAACTGATACGACAGTTTGTAGAAGTGAGAAGCTCTTACCTTTCAGAATAATTTCTTTATGCAGGTTTGTCCCATAACAGTTTACTTTGGGAATAAATGTCCTGACGCTGGAGGACCATGGTTTGTCGGCTTCGTGG